CCCCACGTCGCCCGCCCGCCGGTCAGCGCCCCAGGCCTGGTGTCCGCGGCCGCCCCCGGACCGCCTGGTCTCCACCCGGGTGTCCACCACGAGAGGTGAAGCCTAACAGAGATGGGACCTGGGGCCTCGGACCAGAGCGTGTGTACTTCTCCGTCAGATGTAGGTCAAGGGCAGGAATGCAGTTTACAGGGTTTCCTCCAGGAGGACGCGTGGGTCCTGCGCTGCGAGACTGGTTTCCTGGGCGACCGACGCGTGACGCGCATCGCCGCCGCGCAGGCGTCCGGATGCGTCTTTTGAAGACCCCTCCCCCTCCCATTCATTTAGCGTTTTAATGCTCTGGACTTTTGTCCTTAAAAAACGTTTGTTCCCCAAAGCTCAGACTCCTTGAGAATGTCTCATTTTAAGCGCATCCTAGTTTTTCCTGCGATTGCATTGACTGCGAGCGTGGCTTTTCCACGGGGAGGCCCTGGGGTGCCTGGACCTCGGCCCTCCCGCGATCCCCGAGGACGGGTCAGAGTTTCTAAAACCTGAGGATCAGATTCTTTTTTTGCGCCGACGCTTGAAGCATCTGGGTCGGGTAGTGCAACACTGTTTTGGAAAATGCATGGCATCCGTTATGTTCTTAAAACAACCTAATCTGACCTCCTCCTGCTGACTTGCAGTCAGCCTATGCAGGTTATTGTGAAAGGACCTGGGACCCCTGGACTTCGTGAGTTCCGAAGACAGATTTTTAAGTTGTTTTTCTGTCTCCAGCTTTGTGGTGTCACTTGTCAACCAGCTACATTCCTGCCCCCTTCTGGTTTATAATTTAATGCTGTTGAGCTTTATGGAGTTTGCATTTTGGTAATTACCTTTGGTAGAACTGTGTCAAAAGGAAAACTGAGTGAGGAACTTGCGGCTTTTACTTATTTTTAACTTAGTTGTTTTGTTTTTTTTTTCATTTTACAAAATGCCCATTTTAGAAGACAGCTAAGCAAAAGAAAATTTAAAACCATCTGGAATCCTGCTACCTAAAGATAATCACTGCTAACATTTCGGAATATTATCTCATTTTTTTAAATACAGAGTATTTATAAAATAAAACCAGTCTGTATATGTTGTTTGGTAACGCCATTTGCATGACATCTTGTCTTCCTATTTCATTTTTTTTCTTTGAACATCTATCATGGCTAGGTGCTCTCATAAGTGAAGTAAGATGCCTAGGGCATGAACCTTGTGCCATCTTTTTAGCAGCTCAGAGGAACTATGTTTTATGTCTTGGCTTTTGGCCAGGGAGCACAGGCGAGGTGATGCTGGAGTTGTGTCAAAGGAAAAATTTAATAATTGAGCCCAATGCAAGGACAGGCAGTTTATTGTAATAATATGAAACTCAAAAGTTGGAGAAAATCACTGAAAAATTTTAATTCTACATTCTTCCTAAACTCACTTTTGCCCCCTCCTGTTCTCTGTCTCTCTCCAAGAATGAAACATGACTGAGGATTCTCAGAGAAACTTTCGTTCAGTATATTATGAGAAAGTGGGGTTTCGTGGAGTTGAAGAAAAGAAATCATTAGAAATTCTCCTAAAAGATGACCGTTTGGGTGAGTTTTATAAATTAAATTAAGCCTGGTGGTTCTTAGTCATCCCAAATGTTCTGAAATAAATGACCTTAAGAGACATCCAGAGGCATTTGTTACCTGTTGTATTTTTTAGTGACAGGATGATAGCAGAATGGTATACGTATTTGGGGAGAAGTTATGGATTTTTCAAGTTTATATTTCACTGAGACAGAGTCAGATGTTTTTGAAAGGCTTGCTAAGAAGTCAACAATATTTTTTTCTCATATTAGACCCATGTATTTTCTCAATTTTCAGAGGTGTCGTCATAGCTTTTGGGTAAATTTACAGCTCTTGCCATGATTTTCTTCTATGGAAATACTGAGACTGTATTATGTATTGGCATTCTAGTTCCTTCCAAGCCAGTAATAATAAGGGCTGTTTTGTGGTTGACTAAAGTAAAACAAACTGAACCATAGTTAAAAATAGTACTTTTATATGCATACAAAGCTTTTAAAATGTCAAAAACATTTCCCACCTGATATTTGATTCCCGCTAGACAGTCTGTGCCTTAAGTATGTCTGGTATGCCTTAAGTATTATCATTCTCATTTAACAAGTAGGGGAATTTAGGTCCAGGACAGTCGAGTGTGTTTTATAGGAAAACGTGGGATGTGAGGGCTGACTATGCCACTCACTTGCTGTGTTATCTCAGTCAAGTCACTTAACTGCTTTGAGCTTCAGCTTCTGCGTCTTTAAAACAATAACTAGCCAACAAGCTTGCAAGGCAGATTAAATGAAATAAATTCTATAAGTAGTAACTACTGCTAATGTTATTGTAAATGTAATATATGCAAACTGTATCTCCTATGCTGTGAAACACTATTTTTAAATAGCTAGTTGGTGGAACCCTCTTCACCCACCCTGGGGCTAGAAATCAGACAGTGTTGCCTTTCTTAGATTTGCTGACTATTTGGTAGGTTTTCTCTGAAGAAATGTCTTACTTTAAGTTGTAAACAATGAAATGCACTTTTATATATTGCGACCAGCATGGAAAGCTTCTTACTATTGTTTTTTTTCTTCCTCTAGATATCGAGAAACTTTGTACTTTTAGTCAAAGGTTCCCTCTCCCATCCATGTACCGTGCCTTGGTATGGAAGGTGCTTCTAGGTACGAGACCCAAGAGCTGGAAATCTGTCTTCAAAAATGTTCATTTGTCATCATATCACTCAGAAAAAGGAGAATTTACTGAATATTGGGTCTAATCTTAGGAGACTGAATTTCTGCTCACTATGACTGTCTTTAAGGAGGTGGCTTCAATGGCAAAACATTAAATACTACTCTAAGAGTGCCAGTTTATTAATGATGGAAGAAAAAGTAATGCATGTTCCTGAGCAAGGTGTGGGAGGAGCTTTGTACTAGGAGAAAGAACCGGTTCAGGCTCTTGTCAACTGGGTAACCTTGAGAAAGACCCTCCTAGGCCTCATCTTTTGCTAAATTAACTTTAAGGTTTTAGCTTTCAATTTGTTATTTCTGTGATTCCTAGTCATAGAAGTATACTTCCTGATGAGTGCTATCACGGTCAGAAAGGAACTGGGGAGTTTTTACCTCCTAGAAGCACAGATGAATCAGCTCCAGAGATGGGCGGCCGAAGAAGATCTTGCTCAGTGTCTGTGGAAGGAAAAGTGTATTAGGTGACCCAGGTGACTGGCATTATCCCTTTAGCCAAGGTTCCTTTGTGCCTGTCATTGCTGAGCATGCTAACACATATTCCACCCTCCTTTTCTTCCTTAAAAAAAAAATTAGAGTGATCCTAGAATTCCCCTGTGAGTGAAGTATCAATATCCCAATTTTACAGACGGGAAAAAGGACTGTGAGGCTGAATAACTAGCCTAAGGCCTTGTAGCCTGTTAGTGGGAGAGGCAGGCTTTGAGCTCAGGTTTGTGGAGCCCATTTGAAAGTAGGATAGATTATAGACCTTGTCTTCTTTCCAGAATGTACTCTATTTTTCAGGACTTGAAAGTTCTTAGTCCTAAATTTGACTCCAAACCATCCCAGAAAGCCTTGCATAATGACTTTTGTTATGCTTCTTGGTAGTCTTTGTACACATATTTTTCTAGTAGGTCATTGTGCAGTTAAAATCTAGAAAACGGGTGACAACTATTTTAGTTCACTGCATTCTTTCTTAAATCTTAGTGTTTCCAGTGGTCATCCAGGTAAGGATGCTTTTTAGATGGCAATGTCGATATTATCTATTTCTGCTGGGAAATACTGTGTGTCTTATTATTATTTCAGTCCTGACCCGAGGATATTTTTTTCATTGGTTTTCAGAGAGAGTGGAAGGGGGAGAGAGAGAGAGAGAAACATTGATGTGAGAGAGACACATTAATTGGTTGCCTCCCGTATGCACCCTGACAGGGTCGGGATCGATGCAACTGAGTGAGGCACGTGCCTTTGACCAGAATCGAACCTGGGACCCTTCATTCCGAGGGCCGACACTCTAACCACTGAGCCAAACCAGCCAGGGCCTATGTGTCTTACTAATAATGCCAGTGGATTAGTGGGAGAGGCACAGACATATTTTGGGGCACTTCCCGAGTGCCAAGGCTTTCTTGCTTGTTCCTCACCTGTATCTCCCCTACCTGTCTTTATCAGGTAAGTCTTTGTTGTTATTTTTGCAGTAAAGGCACTGGAGATTCAGGGCTGCCACGCTATGTAGGAGATAGGCTGACTCTCCTAGCATAGGCTATTGATTACTTGGGGACCCTGTTATGCCTCCTTCGTGGTATTATTTTAGATAAATATAAGAAAGAGACTTTCGCCTGGCCGGGTGTGGTTCAGTGGTTGAGCGTCGACCTAGGATCCAGGCAATCGGGGTTCGATTCCCCGGTCAGGGCACATGCTCATGTTGTGGGCTGCAGCAGATCAATGACTCTCTCATCATTGATGTTTCTATCTCCCCCTCTCCCTCTCCTTTCCTCTCTCTGAAATCAATAAAGATATATTTTAAAAAAAAAAAAAAAGAAAGAAAGAGACTTTCTAGGACTAGGTCTTAGAAAACAAGTTAGGTTTAACATGGGACCGCTGTGCTGCCTGTACTATGATAAGGATTTAACTACAGCTATTTAATCTGTACTGTTTTAGTCCAAATTTGGGGGTCATTTTAGTGTATTTCTTTGGCTTTTCTTGGAAGCCTGGCACAGTGCCCATAGCTAAGATAAAGATTTATGTCAGGAAAAAGAACATTTAAGCAAGTTTGGTTGTAACATTAACATAGCATCATATTAGTTAGAGTCCATCACAACAATTGTTTGAGAAAGGTATTGTGATTCCTATTTTGCAGATGGAGAAGCAAAGACATAGGGAGATTAAGTAAGTTGCTGATGGTCACCCACCAGTTAATTGTAGAGGTAGAATTCAAACCCAGGAACTTTGACACCATAGTTTGCTCTACAGTTTGATTAAGTTTAATGAAACTGGAATAAATAAGTAACATGCTTTTTTTTTTTTTTAATAAATATATCTTTATTGATTTCAGAGAGAGGAAGGGAGAGGGAGAGAGAGGAACATCAATGATGAGAGAGTCATTGGTTGGCTGCCTCCTGCACACCCCCGATGGGGGATCGAGCCTGCAACCCGGACATGTGTCCTGACTGGGAATGGAACCTTGATCTCCTGGATCCTAGGTCGACGCTCAATTGCCAAGCCATGTCCAGCCAGGTAGTAACATGCTTCTTCTTTATAGCAAAACTTAGAACTTTGAAAATTCATTGTCACCATTTGCCAGATCTGTTTTTGACCATGGCACCTTTTTCTCATGAAGACTCCAGGAGCTAGTGTCCTTCCAGGAACGTTCGGTGAAATGCTTATCCCTCCCATTTTCCACCCCTGAAAGATGAGGAAACGGGCCAGACAGATGTTTATGAGAATCCCAGTGTTATCAGATCTGTTTCTAGAACCTAGGTGTACTGAAGGCCTGGCCTGTGCTCTTTCCACCCTGTTTTCTCTATGCCATTTGTTTGTTAAAAAACCTTGTGGTTCTTGCTCCAAAGCCATGTTTAAATGGGCTAATAAATATAAAATGGCATCACAATGTAATGTGATCTTGTCAGTGCAGAATAGAGATTTCTGTGGTCCTGAAGGTAGGATATTTTGTGAGCAAGTTTTAATTATTGGGGAGAGAAGGATTTGATGGGTAATTGGTGGTTCTGAGATGAGGGGGCTTGTATTGTGAGCTAGAGCTGCCATAACAGAATACTACAGACTGGGTGGCTTAAACAACAGTTTACATTCTCCTGAGTCTGGAGGCTCTAAGTCCAAGATCAAGGTGCTGGCTGATTTGGTTCCTGGTGAAGCCTAACTTTCTGGCTTGCAGATGGCCACCTGTCGCTGTGTCTTCACATGGCAGACAGTGAGAGAGCTCTGGTGTTTCTTCCTTTTCTTATAAGGGCACCAGCCCTATTGGATTAGGGCCCCACCCTTGTAACCTCATTTAACTTTACCTCCGTATAGGCCCTATCTCCAAATGTAGTGACATTGGGGGTTAGGGCGTTGACATATGAATTTGAGGGGACACAATTCAGCCCATAGCATGGGCCAAGTGCAAAAACTGGACATGAGCCTTTAGGAGCTAAGGGTGGCCCCAGACTGGCAACCGTATTTGAATTAAGTCATTATAATTGATAATGGTTTATATCTTGACTTTAGATGGCACACTTATTCAAGGGATTTATAAATGCCATTTCCTTTCTTTTTTATATCAATATACAGTTGACATTTAAATATTGATGGTATTTAAAATTCTTTTATAGTGAGAATTTCTGGAAGAGAATCTGTATGGTTATTAAATATTTGTGTGATTTCTAGTTTAATTTTGATGGGCAGCTTCTCCCAGGATTCTGTTTAATGGGGGAGGGATTTGAATCGGTGCCTCAGTATTTTGTCTTTTTTTTTCTGGGTCTCTGTGTAGGGATCCTGCCTCCACACCATGAGTCCCATGCCCAGGTGATGATGTATCGTAAGGGGCAGTACTCAGACATCCTTCATGCCCTGAAAGTCGTTCGCTTTGTCAGTGATGCCACACCTCAGGTTGAAGTCTATCTCCGCATGTATCAGCTGGAGTCTGGAAAGTTGCCTCGAAGTCCCTCCTTCCCACTGGTTAGTGGTACTTTTGCTTGATGCTTAGCTCAACTCTAGACTGTCCCATCTTGCCAGCCTTTGATTGCGTCATGTTTTGCCTTAGAAACTTTCAGTGGCTCCCCTTTGTCTATAGAATAAAAACAACACATCTTTCCCTGTCATTCTGACACCATCTGCCTAATTTCTTAAAATACTACAATTTATTTTGAAGTAATTTCAAACTTATAGAAAAGTTGCAAGAATACTATCAAGAATTCCCATATACTCTTTCCCCAGGTTCCCCAGTTGTCTACGTTTTTGAACATTTGCATTGTCATTTTCCTATGTATGTGTACATATATTTCCTAAACCATTTGAGAATAAGATGCAGACGTGATATCCCATCACTTCAATTTCCTTCAGTGTATACGTCCTAAAGATAAGAACACTCCCCTAGGTAACCAGAGTACAATCATTGAAACCCAGAAGTTGACATTGATACAATATTAACATCTAATCTTCAGACTTCACTCACATTTGACCCATTGTTCCAGTAATGCGCTTTATCAAAACAAACAGTAAAGGTTTTAGTTCGGAACCTTATCAAACTTTCTTATCAAACTTTCATCCACTAGTTTTATCATTTGTTGGTTTCAAATTTTTTTAATGTTTTAATTATTCATTTAGAAATCATCTTTGACATAGAAAAAAGCTTCAAAAATAGCATAGTGTTCCCATATACGTTCACCTAGCACCCTCAGATGTTATGTCTCACATACGTAGTACAGTGATCAAAACCAGAAAATTAGCCTTGATATAATACTATGAATTGCTCTGTGGGCTTTACTCACATTGTGCTGATTGTCCTACTGAGTCCTTTTTCTGGCCCTGGATCCAATCTGGGGTCACACTTGACCTTTATTTCCATGTCTTAGTCTCCTTTAATCTGGGACAGTTCCTCAGTCTTTGTACAAACTTTCAGAACTTTGACATTTCTGAAGAGTACTGGGCAGTAGAGCGTTGCTCAGTTTGGGTTTGTTTGATGTTTCCTCATGATTAAAATCTGGTTATGCATTTTTGGCAGAAGTATGATGCTTGGTACTGTTGCTGCTGGCTTTGATCACTTGGTTAAGGTGGTGTCTGCCAGCTTTCTCCAATGTAAACTTACTAGTTTTCCCTTTGTGATTAATAAGTAACTTCTGGGGAGGTTTCAGACTCTGTAAATATCCATCCACTAATGATTCTCCTCCAGAACAATTTTTGCTACGCCGATTGCCAAATATTGATTTCTTACTCCTTCATTCCTCCTGCATTTATAACTTGGTGTTCGTTTATAAGGAAGGTTTCCCTCTCCCTCGTTTATTCCCATCGGTATGAGTTTATGGCTCCCTTTTCTTCAGTGGCTAACAGTCCATTCCTGCCGTCGCTTATTTGGGTTTTCAGATTGCCTCAGATTTAGCCAGTGGAGGTTCATCAGTCTAGCTTTTATGTCTTTTAACAAGTTCCCATCATTTTGAGCATTTCCTTCATTTCTGGTATGAAAAGGTATTCCAGGTTCATCTTGTACTTTCCCTGCTTCAAGCCTAGAATTTGCTCCCCGGCCCCCCACAGTGTGGTGTCTAGAAACCAAGAGTAGAGCACTAGATGTGCTCATTGTTCCTGGTGTATCACTGCCTCTAGGCCCTCTCAGCAGAAGGAGCAAGGAGATAATGTGTATGTGTACACACATTCACGTACACATCCATTATGTATCTGTTTATCTCAATATAGTAAAAGCCCTGAGTTCACACTAATACCTCCAAATACAGTGCAGCATCAAGTTCATTCTAGCCTTTGCCCTCTGTCTTGTAACCTCCTTCTCTGACAATTGAGATATGAAGAGGCTCCCATTACCCCCAGTATATTCACTCCTTTGTTTGTCCCTCTGTAACCAACACTGCCAGCCACCTCTTGGCTCTGGCCTGCGGGCCCCATAGGCCTATAGCCCTGGCCGCCGCCTCGGCCCTGTCACCTCAGCCCCAGCCCCACAGGCCCAGCCTGCTTTTTAAACTTAATCTTTAATAAACTCCTCGCTCCAGTTACTTAGACTGCTTATTGTTTGTAAAGGGACGAGATGGGAAAGAGCAAGACTTCAGGCAAAGGAATGGGTATAGCTCTTGAGCTTTGGCTATTTTAATGCCATTTGCAAGTTACTCTGGGCACTTCAACAAATTTTTGGGCCAAAAGAGTGAATTGTTCAAAACAGGGATTTGTCTGCAAGCTGTGCTATTTATAAATTTTATTTCATTCTTTCACTGCAGATGGCCTCCCGCCACTACGTGGTTTGGGCTTTGAATTGTTATTTCTTTTTGAAGCTAATGGCTCCCGCAGATGCCCATAGGTCACCCACTTCTGTGAAGTGTATCACAAGAGAAAGGCACTGAAAATAATTGGAACTCTTAACACGCTTCAAGTTTTGCTTATCTTTGGCAAAGCAAAATTGGTAGTGTTGCACAAGTTCTTAAATTATGTATTAAACTAGGTGAGATTATCTGTTAGTTTGAGAATAATAAGTTAGAGTTGTCCCCTCGTCCCTGCTTGGCGTGTCCGTTCTTCAAGCCCAGGCACCTCGACTGCTTCTCGGGCAGACGCGTTGTCAGAGCGTTTGCAGTGGGCTCTGTGTGCCATGTCTCCCTGATCACCAGGCCCCCCACAGCCTCATTTTTCTTACCCATTAATAAGAATGTGTGACGGTGCTTGGCGCAGGGTGGAACACGGTCAGTCAGGGACATTGGTCCTCTTCCCTGGCCACCCAGAGTGGCCAGGGGTAGCAGTGAGATGCCACATCCAGGAGCACCGAGTCCAGAGCCCCGTACTAGGAGGGAGCTTCCCTCCCCTTTTCTTCCTCTCTCCTCCTCTGACAAGTTAATGTTTAGAAAAATGCATTTTCTATGATTCTGTTACCTGACACTTTATAGACTATTAATAAGTTGAAAGGATGCCTAAAGTGAAGTACTTTTCTTGTTTTGTTAATCCTCACCTGAAGATATNCTTGAGAAGGAATACACTTCACTTTATATTCAATTATTATTTGTTACTTATTAAAGCCAAGATACTTAGATGCTTTATTTTTTGAAAATATTAAATAAGTTCATTTATTTCATCGTGTTCTGGAACACTGGGTTTTATAGAAATTTCAGAACTCTAAACTTTTCCACTGTTTAGTAATGATTGTAAGTTGATGGATGTAACTTTGTGTGGCATCCTTCACTTGTCTTCATGTAAATTCTTACTCTCTACTGATTCTCCATCTATGTATTTGGTAACTGCTTTCTAATTTTATTCCATGCCTTTGCTCTGTTATTTTTTCTTAACTCATTATTATGATTTGTAGCAGATATAATTGCACGAGATAAGTGTAGTAAGCATATGCATTAAAGGTATGCCCAAAGAGACTATCCTTAAATACTGGAAAGATGAATAATCTTGTGTTACTTCACTCAAAGTAAAATGTGATTCCATGTGATTTTCAGTAACACTTAAAAGATATCTGAAAAGACATCTGAGAAAAGATATGTGAAAAATAGTTATTACTCTCCATTGGCTTCTCTTGAAGGTAAAGTAGAAACTTAACCATATTCTACTTAACCATTACTCCTTTTTTTTTTTTTAATCCTCACCTAAGGATATATTTTTCATTGATGAAAGGGGGGGCGATGGGGGAAACATTGATGTGAGAGAGATACACTGATTGGTTTCCTCCCGCACAGGCCCTGACTGGGGCTGGGGATTGAACTGGCCACCTAGGTATGTGCCCTTGACTGGAAATTGGACCCGTGACCCTTAGGTGCACTGGCAGATACTCTAACCACTGAGAACACCAGCCAAGGCAGTTTCTTTTTTAACATTAAAATCCCTCAGCTATTAAATCCTAGATGAAAATGTATTTTTGCGTAAGATATGGTGTTTGGAAACAAAAATAGATTTCAACAGATTCTACTTTTTATAAGACTTCTTTGTTGAAGTTTCCTTGAGGGTTTACTTTCATGTTCTGAGTATTGACACAGGTTTGAGAGGTGCCATTCTTCTGATTCCTAATATGCTTATTCTAGGGACATTTTAACTCTTCAGGTGTTTGAAGACAGAACAAAATTCTGAAGGAATGTAGGAATGCTTTAAAATAGAGAAAATGCTTTCTCAGTCCTTTCTGAGTCATTTAGTTTTTGGAAATTACCATATTGATAAATGTCTCCAATTATTATTTGTGCTGTGTATTGCATCATTTTGAAAGAAATTCTCTAACACCAAGAATATTTTTGGGTGGAGAGAATCAGCACCTTGCTTCTGACACATGTTGATTCTTTTATGGACGGCCTTACATTAGAAGCTGGAAACCTCCGAGTACTCAGCCTAAACTCTGGGCACTCATCAGCAGCACTCATCCCAATATGTTTCTGTGGTTGCACAGTCTCACCTCCTCCTTGCTCTTCTCCTTAGCAATGGACTGTGTGGTTTTTGACTCTACTTTGATTTATTAATTCAGTCTCTTCAAAATTTAGGGGATAGGGTTTCATTTTTTAAAATAAATATGTATTTCTCTCTTCTGCTGCCTCCCTCTTGAGATTTATTATTAATCTTTCAGAAGCCAGAAGATGAAGTGTTTCTTGCCATTGCTAAGGCCATGGAAGAGATGGTGGAAGACAGTGTCGACTGTTACTGGATCACCCGATGCTTTGTGAACCAGCTAACCAACAAGTACCGGGACTCCTTACCCCAGCTGGTGAGGGATGCTTTTTTGGCTGTTGGCAGGAGGGAGGGATGGTGAGCAGTGGTATTAGGAGTCTTCAGGAAATGCTCTTACCTCTTTGTGCTGCTACAATTAGGAGTAGACCCTCTTTAGTGGGAGTCGGCACGTTTCCTCTAAAAGGCCAGGTAGTGTTTCCGGCACGACGGGCCAGGTGGTCTCTGTGTCTCTGTTGCAGCCACTCAGCTCTGATGCTGTCACACACAAGCAGCTGTCGGCACCACATAAAGGGAGGGTTGTGACTGGATTTGGCCAGAGTTTGCCCACCTGGCTCTATAGTATTCCTTGGGCTGGTCTAGAAACCCACTGGCTTAATCTAGAATTTTCCCTCTGTATGAGTTAAGGTTTAAGTTTGACTGCACATAACAGAAAGACCCCAAAACAGAAGCTTTATTGTTTTCTTTCTTGTAACTAGAAGTGCAGAGGCGAGGTGGTCCAGAGCTGGCACCACAGCACTTGGTCTCAGTCGGGATCCTGGCTCTACCTGCTCCTGCATTCTAGGTGTGATCCTTCCTCTTGTGCTGACAAGATGGATGCTGGAGGGGCAGACGCAACATCTGTGTTCTGGGCAGGCAGCAAGGGCAGGGCAAAGACAAAAGCACAGGAACACTAGGGACAAGCCATCAGCCTGTCCCCCTTTAACAGACTTTCCTTTTGCGTGTCAGTGGCAGGACGGTGCTGCCTTGCTGGCTGTCTGCAGTGGAGTCTGGGCCATGTGTTTTTATTTAACCGTACACACTGTGACCTCCCATTAAAGCAGGATTCTGTTAGTGAAGGAAAGGCGAATGGATCTGAGGGAGGCACTTGGGAATCCAGAGAGCCGAATGGCATTTACTTCATAAGCCAGGGGTCCTTTGCCATTCTCGTTTCCCAGTTTCTTTCTTTATTTCTCTCATTTATAAAAATGAATCTTTTTTCTTAAATCATTGAGTTGTTTTATTTGAAAGTTCTGTTGAAAGTAGCCACTGTGATATAAGTTGCAGGGCCCAAGGAGGGCCACTGAGGAAGGTTGGATGAGCCCTCCGGCCACTCCTCTGAGTTGGTCATCAGGGCAGCTGGCAAGGCCCTTCAGCTTTGGAGAGCACTGTATAAGAGTGTTTTTTAAATATTTAAGTTAAGTAAAATATGATTTTTAGAACCTTAAAATTTAATTCATTTAGTTGATTTCAATAAAAATAATTTAAGTGTGGCATTGAAGCATCTGTAAATGTAATGTTGCCTCATTAAATAAAGATGTCCAAATTACTCCATGATTCAATTAGCCTTTCTCATTTAATATTGGAGTAAATCCAGTAACATTTTGAAAGCTTCTGTTTAAAAATTCATCCTCTATTTTTAATAACACAAGTAATAGATAAATGCATTCTTGAAGTATTAAACAATCCAAATGAAACCTGTGTTCCCATAGATCTGTAACCACCTCCCTGCCCCCCACTTTCTGAGAAGTAAGTCCTGTCATTAGCTTGATGTGTATTCTTCTAGACTATGTACATTAGGGTGGATGTGTGTGTATATGTGTGCATATACACACATAATGATATATAGTTTTACATATGTAAGTATTTTTAAAAAAGCATAAATATTATCACACTGCTCATATGGCCCTGAAATTTATTTATTTATTTATTTAAATATGTTTTTATTATTGATTTTTAGAGAGAGAGAGGAAGGGAGAAGGAGAGAGAGAAACATAATGTGAGAGGGTAACATCTATTGGTTGCATCCTGCATGCTCCTTACTGGCGATTGAGCCTGAAACCTGGGCATGTGCCCTGACCAGGAATAGAACCGGCAACCTCTTGGTGCATGGGACAACATTCAACCAACTTAGCCACATTGGCCTAGGCCCTATAATTTATTTTTAACTTAATGTCTTGGAGGCTTTCTGTGTTAGTGCAGATAAATCAGTAGTTTTCAGCCCTGAATTCCTATTAGTACCATGTGGGAGCTTTTAAAATTACCAGTACCTTTCCTCCACCCAGAACAATTAAGTCAGAATCTATAGGGGCGAGGTCCCAGATTTCTAATTTTAAAAGCTCCAGCTGATTCTGAAGCGTGACTCAGGTTGAGAGTTACTCATTTAGAACCACTGTTGTTTTTTTAAATTTGCTCATAGTATTCCTTGTTACGAATTTGCCGTAATTTAATGTAACAGGCCCTTGCTGACATTCATCATGCCCTTTTCCATATTCCTTTGTGTATGTCTGTGTGTGTTTCTCTAGGATGGGAACCTGTCAGGGGAATGCACACTTGAAAGAGAGGCATATTTAAAATTTTAACTGCCAGGTTGGTCTTCGTACCAATTTTGCTTCCTCCAAGAGATTTATGAGATTTCCTGTTTTCCACTCCATTTCCAATACTTGATAGTATCTATCAAATTTTTCTTAATCTGATAGTGAAATAGTATCCCATTTTAATTTACATATCCTCATTTTCTAGTGAAGTTGAGCAGCTTTGTATGCCTATTGGTCATTTATATTTGTTCACCTTTTTATTACTTTGTAAGAGTTTTTGATAACTGAATATTTATCCTGTTACACATGTTGAAAATATTTTCTCACTGTCTGTTGTACAAATATTTTAAGTTTTGATACAATTGAATTTGTCAGTATTTTCCTTTTGCTTTTTTGTATCTTATTTAGGAAGCTTTTTCTAATCCCAAGATTAAAAAAAAGTTTTTTTTAATAAGAAATTTACTTGTTTAAAAAAAAAATCCAAATGCTGGCATTGTCCAGAAACATTTAACAGGCTTATTTATATTGTTATGAAGTTGAACTGCCGAAACTTGTTCACTGAAACATTTGACTTGCATTAATGCTTTGTCTCCACATTTATATTAAAAGAATTCACACAGAAATGAAAACGGGAAAACAGCCAATATCTGATTTCTGTCCCCTATTTTGCACTTGCAATCACATACTTAGTACCTTTTGACACTATGGGAAAAAAAAAATCTAATGTTCAGAACTACCAATAACAGAAAGAGAAGTTGTATTTTTAAAGAATGAAATGTTTCTCATTATAATGGATTATTATTTTTATTAAAAATTTTTAATGTTGACATTATTGGAGGTGTCCCCTCACCCCCCCTTTGCCCACCTCCATCCACTCCCACCTCCCCCTCCTTGGCCTTTACTCCACTATTGTCCATGTCCATGGGGTATGCATATATGTTCTTTAGCTAATCCATTCACCTCTTTCTCCAATCACCCCCATCCTGGTGGATTCTTAAGCATGTTCTCCATGTGTGCAGCATGCTAGCTGGATGTCTTTTGGCAAAATTGTTACAGATTTGGCATGGATAGCGCACAGGTTGATATCTTCAAAAAGGTCAACCAGAGAGTCCTCACTTGCCTCCTGCAAAGCACCAATAACTGCACTCTGGCAGCGCAGATCTGTCTTTTAAGTCCTGATCAATTTCTCGCACCAGAGCTGGAAGGGAAGTTTGCGAATCAGAAGTTCAGTGGACTTCTGATAACGCCTGATTTCACGAGTGCCACAGTACCATCCTGTAATGATGAGGTTTTTTTCACTCTTCCAGTAGAGGGCTCACTCTTCTGAGTGGGTTTTGTAGCTGTTTGCTTCCTCCATGCTTTACCATCTGTTGATTTACAGGCAGTTTGCTTTGTCCCAGCCATGGTATAGAGGCTATGCTGGCCTAGAGAGTGATTGATGGTAGTGCAGCTTCGGCTGTGAACATGAAAAAGTTTTTTGTTTTTTTTAAATTTTNGGATTTATTCATGGATGTAGCAAGTTTTCACATAATCTGCAATACTTATGAGTAAATTAAACACGAAATTTTTAGTGACTGTTGTTGCGAATAAAAGAGAATGCAACAGAAATAATAACATCAATCATTGATGAGAATATAGAAAGTTAGGCACTAAATCCTACCTTGGGATAACAATCCATAGACTCTCCCGGAGTACCATAGTTCATACGACCATAGTTCATACGACGCACCTGATCTCTACAGTGGTATATAAATGCAACAGCCACCACTAAAGAGTGCGGTCTCAGAAAGGAGAGCACCTCTAATAACTCCTATTAATGTTACAGAAACATGTAATTCAAAACAGACGCTTTCACATGGAATACTTGCATCTCACGAAATGTGTGCACCTTTTACAAAGCTCTCAGTAAGTTCATGTCCCTGAGAGGGGTGGGGTTTCCGCACCATAGCTCTAAAAATCTCCGATACACTTACCCATCTTCAGAGCAAATAGGCAGGCAAAGTCAGTGGACTTTGGCCAAAGGCACTGCCCCCTTCTCTTTTTTTTTTTGAATTTTTATTTTATTATTTTTAAAATGTGTTATTGATTTTTTATTGTTTTAAAAATTCATCTTTATTGTTGAAAGTATTACAGATGTCCCCTTTCCCCCCCATTGACTCCCTCCACCTCGCACCTGCTCCCGCCCCAGGCCTTCACTGCACTTTTGTCTGTGTCCATGGGTTATACATACATGCATATAATTTCTTTGGTTAGTCTCCCCCCTCCCCTTAAAGTTTCTTCTAACTTTTAAAAGTATTTACACATTTTAAAATTTAGTCCTTGAATTTGTAAGGGGTTTGTCGTTATTACTGGTATCAGACACAGATTTGACTTCATTTCTTGGTTGTAACTGCAACACAGTGTCAGCCAGCACATGCTCCTTCCCCCCTTTATTTAACAGTTATTGAGAATGTTCTTATGCCAGGCAGTGCTAAATTTGCTTCATTAAATGAATTACTTCATTTACATATATCTCGGTTTTTATAGATGAATGTTCTTTGCTGTGAGACATAGTGTATAAATGTGTGTGTGTTTTCACCCATGTCACTTTGTGGAAAAAGCAGATATACATACACATTGGCAGAACTGAGCACACGTTCATGTCGCTGGTAGAACCGACCAAAATTCTAGAATGGAGTTTCAGAGGTGAAAAGCCAAAACAGGAGCCCTCTGGCAATTTGCTTATCCCCATCACAGCTTTGTTACAGTGCGTTCTGGTTACCTCTTTCCTGGGCTCTGTCAGCCAGTTGTAAGCTCCTTGAAGGCAGGTCCTTGACCTTATCTTGTCCCCTGTATGTAGCACAGTGCCTGGCTGTAACGGACACTGCAGGGTTTTGAATCACCTCTTTGGCAGAAGCATAGAGATGCAGATGTTTAGTAAAGTAAACATCTGCATGTACTTGGATGATAGGGGTCTGGTTATGCTCTTCTGGATAGGGAGTGTGGACTGTAGGGTTTAACCCTTACAGACCATTTGTAGCCAGTGGACCCTAAATAGACCAACATGTGCAAGATGGATTGGGCCTGGTCTGGGGGGCACGCTTTGTTAGCTTCCCAGTCTTCGAGATTTGGCTGCTGCTCAACTGTATGTGGGAGAGGCTACCAGATGGAATCCAGGTACTGTGTTCCTTCTGCGTTATTCCTCTGCCTACTGAGAGTTCTCACGCACATTTTGTTGGGTACAGAGCTCCTCCTCTGGACATCCTGTCAGATGAACCTCCTTCGTGTGGTGCACATGTGGGTCAGCACATGTGTGGTCAGTGACCGATGGGCCCTTTTAATCTCCAGCTCTTTTGTCTCATTCTGCCTAGTTCTGTCTCCCAGTTTGATCCCATTCTGTTTCTCTGGTCTTCCCCTTCCCTTTGTCCTTTCCCCCCCATATATATAATCTACTTTCCTAGAGCAGCCAGGAATATACCGGGCCTTTCTTTCTAAGCTCCCCAGAACAATTGAATTTTGCTTTGAACTTTCGCATTAGGCTGTTGAATCCGCTTAGTGCAATTAACATAAGGGTAACCAACTGTTCTGTTTTGCCTGCGACCGTCTGGGAAACCCCTCAGGTCAGATGGGGGTTGCTCCAGATATGCTGACTTGGGGAACGGATATGCTGAAGGGGGAACGACTGTATCACCAGTGACTTGGATGATTCTGAAATTTTGGTTTCTCACGCTTCCTCACATTCATCATGTACATTTTTTCATCAGAGGCTGTAAGAGAGGGTGATGTTATGTCACAGGAAGTGAATAATCTCTTCCTGTTTTATCATTAGCCAAAGGCTTTTGAACTGTACTTGAATCTGGAGGATAGCCGGCTGCTGAGTCACCTGAAGGTGTGTTCTGCAATGTCCAGACTGCCTTATGATCTCTGGTTCAAGAGGTGCTTCGCAGGGTGCTTGCCCGAGTCCAGTTTACAGAGGCAAGTATTTCTTTCAGACATACTGAAGGCCGGAGTTGGAGAAAAATCCTGGTTTTTATGTGCTCGTACCTCACAATATAAATTTTCTTAAGAACAAAACAGTAATTTAAAGATAACTTCTCCAGCAGCTAACATAACTACACATGATTCTGTTTGTTACATATACAATTGGAATAATTATTTAATAGTAACTAATTAACAATTCAAATATTAGAATATACAGTTATAAAAACTGAGGGCCCTCAGTGTGTTAGATGCTGTACAATATTTACATCTGAAACAGTCTCCAGGAGTTTATATAGGCACGACCTTTTCTTTTCCAGAAATATGGTAGGTCCTAATTTAGAGAAAATCTTGGTATTTTTTTAGTTTCATCATGACATCGTTAAGTGGCTGAAGGCAGTGAAAGATTTGAGACTCAAACACAGCATTCCTAAGTTTAATGAAAGCATTAGTTTCAGACACGTTAGGGGTATTTTGGAGGCCTGGCCCTTCCCCTCCAAGGTGTTATGCTCTAGATGTGAAGAGAGGCAATATACAGAGAACATTACAGGACAGTACACAGGTAAGCATACAGAGTGCAATACCCACATCAAGAGTTCTAGGAATTATCAGAATAATCATTTTACAGTGTTTGCAGATCAGTAACTAGCTCCTTAATTAAGCCCATGGAGAAGTTGAGGGAATTTGAACCACTGGAAACTGAAGTCTAGTTCATCTCATTTCATATGCTGCTTTTGTTGTTCTGTAGCATGCTGTGATTATATTAGCATTACAAAGTATCGGTAAAATCTAAACTTTGGTTTAGGACTTTCCTTTCCTTTTTGAAACCGTAAGTTTGAAACCTCGGGGAATGGGCATTTGGTAGATTCCTAGTGGAGCAAGTACTTTTCAATACTCATTCCTTTCTCCTTCCAGTGCTGGTTGTGTCTAAAATAGATTCCAAATGGCTGACTTGTTTTGTTGTTCTTTGATGATTATTTCATTTTAGCTCTTCTGTGCAGCTTATACTTAAAACAGGAGTGATTTGAATTTTGTAATTTGAGATGTCTAGATAAACAAATGTTAACCTCACCTTAATTTGATTATATATCTCTTCATTTTTGTAGGGTTTGGGATAAAGTTGTAAGTGGATCCTGTAAGATCCTAGTTTTTGTAGCAGTGGAAATTTTATTGACCTTTAAAATAAAAGTCATGGCACTGAACAATTCAGAGAAGATAACAAAGTTTCTGGAAAATGTAAGTGTGCTTCATTTTATTTCATTTTGAATCTAGAAAGGAAGTCAGTTTAGCAAGCCAGATTTTCTGGTAGCATTAAATTTTTCAGAGAAATAACAGTATATTTTTACATAAGAAACAGGTTTTCCCTTGAAAATGCTTAGCTTACAGTTGATCAGTGGGTTATAGTTTGCGCCCTCTGTTTGCGGGACGATGGTCTGAGCAGCAGGACTCTCACCGTGACTGTGCCCTCAGGACCAGTGTCTAGTCCCCTGGTGGGACCACTAGGAGGCTTGTCGAGAAAAGGAAGAGGCGAGATCTGTCACTTTAGGATGAGTAATCTCGTTAATGGAAGAGGAATCCTGGTGTTTGGGGATTTTGTGAGCCCTTTCATTTCTGTCACCGTCACTGTTGGAGTCCCAGTTGGGTTTGTTAATGTGCCTAAGTATAAACATGTTGCGTGCTGGGACAGGTCTAAATGAATCAGCTTTTCCTTCTCTATGTATCTCAGAATACCCTCAACCAGGCAAGAGAGAGAAGCAAGGAGACTTATGCCTGAAGGAATTTCAGTGGATCCAAAACCTATTTTTTTTTTTAATCAGTCAGTATTAGCATTTGAACATTGGTCCAGTCAATAATAAGTACTAAGTGAATGTGTGTTGAATAAATTACTCAATCATTATACTAATTAGTGGCTAACAGTGCCAGGGCTGTGTTAAGTGTTCTTTATGGATTATCTCATGTAATCCTGTAACAGCCCTATGGAGTGGGCCTACCATTTGCCCCATTTTAGAGATGGGATCTGAACTCGGGTAGCTTAGGTAACCTGCCCAGGCGCACACAGTGTAGTGGACAGTGCAGGATTTGAGCCCAGGCAGTCTGACCCCAGAGCTCCTTAGCATGTCCTCAGAGATCCTGGCTGCAGCATTTTATGTGACCACTTTCTGAAAACCAGTGAGAAGTCCCTTGGAAATAAGGTTTATGCCACAGTGGGGGAGGGAGATACTGAAGTTAGAAGCACTGAAATGTCATGAAGACTGGTTTGCTTTTCACAGATTCCCCAGGACAGCTCGGATGCGATTGTGAGCAAGGCCATTGACTTGTGGCACAAACACTGCGGGACCCCAGTACATTCAGCCTGAACGCTGTGGACAGTCTGCCAGACCCGCCCTGAATATTCTGTGTGGGGACTGATCTACTGAACTGACCGAAAACAGGGTTCTTGCTTTGATGCTCAAAGTGTAATTTCTTTCCAAATTATTGAAATACCTGGCCTTCCTGTGTTGTGGAGCAGCATCTTTGGGTTACACAGAGGTACAGAGTTTCACTCTGAATACAATATAGAGTGTTGGGGTTTCTAAATCAGTTCAGTCCCTGGGTGGGGAGGAAGGGAGGGGGTAGGTGCTTTAACAAGCAGTTCGTGGCCACGCCCTGCCCCTCTTCTCTCTAATTAGCACCAAGCCAGTGACTTGCTAGGTCTATTTCTGGAATAAAGAATAACTTCCTCTTGTTGACAACTCAGATTTGGCTTTTGTTGAGGCAGTACTTGTTTAAATCTAAACTGACTGCTTTCTGAGGCTTTGTTTTGCTAAATAGGTTTAAATAAAGGACTTGTATTTTTTTTTCTCTTTGTACCATTTGTAACGAAACAGATATTGAAAAATATGTCTAAATTTACGTACCAGGAGAGAGACTACTTGCTGGTATTTTGCTGGCCTCATGTTTTTTCCTGATGGATCATTAAATGCTGGGTGGGCTTCAGGGAGCACTCTGTCACCCAGAATAGGAGTGGGGGGAGCTGGCAGGTTAAGGTTGATAGCTAATGAACCCGGGCCGTGTTGTGTCACATAACGGTAGCTGCTCACTGGACAGTGGCAGGCTCTGAGACTGGTGAATGAGATGCAGCCCTGCGTTGAAGACCCATTCGTCTGTCAGACGTGCCAGGTCTGAGTGGTGAGCTGGATCTCCCTCCACCCCATGCAGTGTGGAGTTATAAATCTGAGCAGTCAGCCCCTCCCTTATGTGGGAAACAACTGTCAGGAAAGAGTTCACAGTATAGCCTGAGTTGTTATCCAGCCCATCCTTCTGTGGAGTATCTAAGAGTATTTAAGTTTTTAAAACAACAACACAGATACACTCAAAAGAACCCTTCTTAAAGCAAACTGCTGCCTGCAGTTAATACTTTCTCTTTATTCCTTGGTCACTCTACCCCTGAAGAACTTTGAATGCAGTTAGGGATGTAAGAAAATAGCACAAGAAGGAATTCCTGCTCGTGTCTGCTCTGCCCTCTGGTGATCTTGGGTATATGTGAAATTCCAGGAGAGGCCATAAAGCAGTAATAATGTTATGTCTGTTTAATTTATGAGCCACATATCATTTGTACAACTGTTTGGTAAAATTGAGATTAGAAAGTCAAGTAATGTTAGTGAGTCTATTGCAGAAAAAGGAAAGAATTAGCCATCTCTCAACAGGGGCATAATTTCAAGGTATGCGCTCCTGCTCACGCCTAAATGCTGGGAGAAGACTGGTGTGTCCCAAGGGAAGGGTGGGAGGCAGGGAGACCGGTTCCCAGGACTCTCAGTGGGGAGGAATCTGAGGGGCCGCAGTATTCTCTGCACAGTTGGGGGCGGGCCTGGATGGTCAGAGGGAGGACCACTACTGCACTGCGAGGACTGGAGGACAAGTCCTGAGTTCTGCAGGTGTGTCTGTCAAACCTGTAGAACTTTTCTGGCTATAGGCTGTGGGGGTGGGAATTGTTTTTAAGTGAGCCAATCTGAAACCATCAAGAGTTTTCTTTATTAGAAAACTAAACACTTCATCTCAGTAGGAGGGTTTTTTAATGTGCACTGTGAGGACAGTGAGGATCCAATTTCACTTTAATATCAGACTTTTGCTGAGAGCTAAGAATTTTGAAAACATTTCTGCCCACTGCCTTCGGCAAGAAGCACAGTTCCTGAAAATCAACCCCCCATTTCCCTTTATTCCAAACAGTTGGTCAGGGTCCTGCAGGACTTCACCTCGCTGTTAAAGCCCAGGGTTTCTGTTGTAGCCAAACTGTCGTGGAGTCCTCCCTTAGAAAACCTGGACTTAACATTACTATTTCTAGTTTCTGGTCCTTCCCTTCTACAGTGGTTTCTTCTTAAACAGGTGAGAGAAGCCCTGAATCTGCTCAGCTGAGAGATGCTGAGGGCCTGTGTGTGCGAGTGTGCATGTGTGTTCTCAGCTTCTGCCTGATGAACCGTGGAATTGCCAAGTTGTATGTCCACAGGCTTGTGTACGTGTGAGGCTGCGTCAGGAAATGAGTCAGGGTTCATTCAGTTGAAGGGCCTGATTTGTTCATGGAAAGTTTGCCTAAGAATCACGGGCAGCACTGAACTCACGTGATGTGTGGAATGTGCGCTGCAGCCTCGGTCCTCTTCCCCTGGGTGAGACAGGCTGCCCCGTCGGGATTGCTAGGAACCCTCCCTTGCTCTGAGCAGCCCCTGTCTCACAGTTATCACTTCCCTACCGTGACTTGAGGTTTCTTTTTTGTCCCTGAGAGAAAAATCTGGAGGGAAGTCTGTGGGAATTAGGAGGGTGAAAATAGTCTCTTGCTCAAGGTGACAGCCTCTCAGGTGCCGTAAGATTTAAACAGGAGTGGTGTCCTGAGATCTTTGGGAGAGGTGGGGGTGGGGGCTTGCAGCATGTCTGGCTCTGCCTTTGCATCTGCCCCTGTCCCATGGGGGCACAGGGTGAGCGGCTTTTGTCTTCAGCTGGCCTTCGCAGGGCTAGAGGACGCGCTCTCTGCCCCACAGAGGGGACTAAGGGAATTTTTGCAGCAGGAGTTGGTGGCTTTCCCTCTGGTGGGAGAAACAAAGGCTGTTTCTCCTTTAGAGTCTGTGCCAAATGAAACTGCTTGTGGCTCTTGGCACGAACTGCCTCTGTGGATCAGCTGTTGCTTATCCAGAGTTGGCGCCAGTTTGCGTAGGAGGGAGGGCTGAAGGGAGGAGGGTGATGCGAAGAGGAGGAGGTGGGAATTTTCCTGGAGGCCACGGCACCGGGTGGGTGCTGTCCTCTGCTGCTTTCCTGACCACTTCCTCCTGGTCCTTTCCAGTCTCTCTCAGCCTTATCCTATGGAGGTTAAAAAGTTACGTGGACAGTTAGTTGCTAGTGACGTTCCATTCCCCACGTTAGTCCTGGGGCTGGTTTTATTGTAGGGCAACCACAGGGGGAGTGGAGAATGTGGTCTGAGGAGGACATGGAAGAAAGTACTTCAGGAGGCCTGTTCTGAGCACAGCTCCAAATGGAATATCACAGCAGGTGCTTAGTGTTCAGACCCCCAAACCACACCTAAAGTTTAGGTATTACTTAGTAGTTTACCAAGAACTTCCACGCACGCGCGCGGGAGCTCACGCTGGCTGCTGACTCCTATCTGGGCTCTTCCTGGTCTTCCCCCATCACCCTCCTTTCCCTAGTGTCAGTGTTAACAGGTGGCAGCCTGGTCCTTGTTGGTAGTTTCAGCTTCTCTTTCCTCCCCCTGCCTGCCTGCTGGACTGAAGGTTTGTGAGGGAGGCAGCAAGGAGGCGGGGAGCTTGGATGATTCGCTCCTAAATGGCAGAGGCCACACTCCCCCCCTCAGGGAGCCTGCATCCCCACCTCCCGTCCCTCCCTCTTCTGTTTGGTTCATTTTTTCTTGTATTTATTCTCATTCAATCATGAAATAAATTGGAGTGCACTCATTATGGGACGGGTACTGGGCTTAATTGCTGACCAAGTCCTATGCTGCCTGCCCTCCTGGGACTTAGAATCACGCAGGGAAGACAAATATTAAACGAGTACGCATTCTGGCCTCATAGTCTAAGTAAAGCACCTTGCAACACGGGGAGATGGTCGCCCAGGCTGGCCCCAAGTTCCAGAGGGGGACTAGAACTACTGAGATGTGTGGCTCTTTGTCCCCTGCAAGAGGTGACAGAAAGAGGCTTGGCTGGGGGAGTAGCAGGTTGGGGTCAGGGCCTGAGCCCCTGCCCACTCAGCCTGTGTCTCGGTTTCCCCTTTGTCAAATAGCAATTCTGCTATATTTCTTATCCCTCAGTGTGCTTCTGAGCATCAGACGAGTTTACTGTGACAGCGCTCTAAGAAACAGGGAGCTCCATGGAATGCTGACTGTTTTTAATAGATGTTTTGCAAGAGTGTGGCCAGGCACTGCCCTGCCTGAATCCGCGCTATGTCTCAGGGCCTAACTCAGCTCAGCTGGCTCTGCAAGTCTGCCCACTTCCAGCTGAAAGTACTTTCTCCTTCCTCTGAGCTTCTGTAACATTCCAGGCCTCCCTCATTCAGCAGTAATTGCTTGGGAGTCTCTCATTTGGTGGTCTTGACCTTTTATTAGACTTTCCAGGTCGTTTCCCTCTAAGGCAGGCTTCTTAATGCCAGAGACTGTTCTGTTCTCTTCCGTAAACTCCCATGTTACCCAGTACAGCTCCTCAGGCATGCTTTCTCCCCAAAATCAGGCCACCCCCCCATCCTTGGGCACACTGTCATCTGTCAGGATGACTGTGGGGCTACATCATCCCGTCTCTAAGGTTCAGCTCACGCACCCCCTTCTCCAGGAAGCTCTCCTGGCTCTGCCCTTTCCCTGTTTCCTTCCATGGCACTCAGTATCCTTTTCACCACAGTCAATGATTGGTTTAGAGTGACCTGTTTATGTCCCACACTAACCTGCGAGATCCTTGAGGGTAGAGATTATGTCTCACTCTCTCTCACTCCCTCATCGCCAAGCACATCCCAGCCTGCCTGGGCTCTCCATGAATATTAGTTGAACACATGAATGCCTGGCTCAGTGTTGGTTAAGACTCCTCTGGTGACAAGTAATAGAATTGCTCTGGTGCTAGCTTGCTTAAAGGAGACTTGAGTATAGGACACAAGAGTGAGGCTCAGACCCAAAGGGAGTGGGCTGGAACCTGGGACAGGACTAAAGAGACTCTGGACCTCTTACCCTCTTCTCTTCGACCTCCCTCTCCCTCTGTAGTCCAGGTTGCTCTGTGAAAGATGCTTTACCCTCAGATCCTAAGCTTGTGGTCCAGGCCCAGTCACTGGATCTGGGGGCAGAGGCTGTGGTCCGGTGCGGCTCTGCTCCCGCCATGGGTCCATCATCAGTAGCCATAGAGACAGAGGACCCATACAGCAAATACTTGGACCGCAGGAGCCTCCCGTGTCTGTGGCAGTGTAGGGGTGTTGAGTGAGGGACATTGTCACAGGGTCCACCATGAATTGGGAGGACACTCTCAGAAATTTTCCACTCCATTTAGCAAATACCTTGAATGAATATGCCCTGCAAGGGTGCCAGGAGGGCAACAGGCGCCTTCTGCCTTGAACTAAGTCTGAGTGGCTTTACTCTCTCTACTTACTGCTGATTTCTGTCAACCAGTGAGAGTGACACTCTAGCCCTTTCCAATGGGAGTGGGCAGAGTGGGACTACCCCATTGGTAGCTTTGGTAAACTGTCAACGTGGCCAGGTGTTTCCTTTGTGAACATTCCACGTCAAGTCTAGTGGAATGTCAGCTTTGCTCCACTCCTTACCCACCTGGGTTGAGTGGGAGGCCTGGTGGCGAGTGGCCAGTGGCAGCTGTGTTTATTTGCCTCTGCTTGCT